TGGTTCTTAAACTCTGTGTTTTTAAATAGAAAATCTTATATAACGAGACAGACCCTAGATTGTAAATTCAGATTATGTGATGAAATGTGTATATATTTTATTGAAAAAGATTCAAACAAAAAGTGTCAAAAAGGGTCTCGAAATGTGACTTGTCAGATGAATTTTATTTTGAAATGTATAAAAACAAGACATGCAAAGTGGTGGGAAACACTACAATAAATAGCGCATCGAACTCCCACTAGCATATCAAATTTGCTAACACAGTACTAAAACTTAGGACCCCAAGTAGATAACATATATCTTAGGGACTAAATTTCACTGAAAATAGGGCATATCGAAAATCGATTATCGAGACAAATAAATTAATGAAATTCTAAATTTGCGAAGAGAACTAAATCTTTATAATAAAGCGTAACATATAATTTGAAAGAGAAATACTCACAATAAAATGTTTTAAGAGACTTCAGTGGTAAAAGCTCCGTCGAAGATCTAATTTTGTGATAACTAGTGTTTTGAGGAAAACACAATGAAAGACGGCGGTTAAGAATGAATAAAAATATGTTTAGGGTAAACGCATATATATACTCTTATTTTTATGTAGAATATATATAGCCCAAAATCGAAATATATAAAGTTTAAAGTCCACCCACATATATAAAGCCCAAAATCCACCCGCAGACTAACACAAAATGATTATCTTTATGGTGGTGACATGTCAATATTTTAAACAATTTATGGCATAGATGTTCTAAAGAAACAAATCTTGGCATCTGTGAAGAGTATAATCCCAATTCGTTACTCATTTGTTGATTAATATATGATCAGAAAACGAAGAAAAATATACGAATATGTTGATCGAAATGAATTTCTAATAGTACCGGGGCCGGCCTGTAATTTTGTGGGCCAAAAAAATTAAGTTTTTTTATGGATAGTTAAATATGAGAACAAATGTTGAGATTTATAAAATTTGGGGCCTATTTTTGGCAAAATAAAACAAATTGGAGGCCATTTTTAATATTGAAAATCAGAATTTTTTTAGAGCCTAAGAGCACTTAATGGGAATCTTAACAATATTTTTAATATAAACTTTGTGTCATCCCAAGTTTAGAACCTTATTAGAAGATTCTAATTTTTTTCTCTTCCTTTGGTAGATCCCGTTAGGGATTTTTAAAAATAAAAAATTCAACTGAATCAAAGACAAAAGTCATAATTTAATCGAATTTTAGGTTTATATCTTTATAATATTAAAAGAGAAGTACATTAAGGAGAATGTCCAAAATTGATTCCAATATTAYTCAAATTGCCATTGTTTTATAACTAAATTGATTAAATTGAAAARRGTAATTTTGAACTAMTGCAATGGCAATTTCAGTAATTTTGAGTACAATTTCGGCTATTTTTATGTTACAAATTAATTGCATTTTCGTTTTTATTTTTGAGGCACATTAATGGCATTTTTGTTATTTTAGAAAAATTTTGTAAAATCAGCATTAATTCACAAATATTTAATTACCAATCAAATTTTTTAAAAA